ATTCACAACAAATATGTTAGCATTAGCCTTAAATAGCCAGCTGTGTTAGCATTCTAGTATTTCCTTATGTAGAGCACAACTTCTACACTAGTTTTCTTGTACCACATGTCAGGTATTTAGAACATTATATAGTGAATGAGTGGACAGTTCAAACACAGCCTGTAAGCTATTTCCCATAAGAAAATACTGGTATTTTCACAAAGCAGATGAACAACCCAAGCTCTTTTTGGTGTTCTATAGCTTGAGCACTTCATAATAAAAAAAACATTATCCGAAGTTTAAAGAAATTACAGAAGCATGACTGAACTATTTTGAAATCTTTCATGGTTTTTACAAAACCACAGTTTGCTTTTTAATGATTTTACCACAGAATAATCAACTAAGAGTAGATGTCACAATCCAATTTTTAAACTATCTATGTTGTTCAATTTTTATTTTATTCCCACAGTTGTGTTGGTACATACATAAAGACTTTTCTTTTTTTCACCTCATATTTCTCTTTGCTATAGTAGGACTGAAGGTCTTCTGTTTTTATCCTGTTGAGCTCTCTGAATTGTCCAAAATCGTAGCTTCATCTAAACCAGGCATCACTAAATGGTGGACCTAGGTCCGAATCCGGACCGAGTGTTGGTTCTGTCTGGACCTGTGCCCTATCTGATAAATTCACAAAATTATATAATATTCATGGAGCATTTTTTCCATACGAAAGTCAAGAGACTGTGTCAAGAGACACAGTTAGGAGGTTTAGAGGTTACCTTACATGGTTACAGTTATTACGGTAACAGGGTTGAGCCAATCAAATTGCTTGTTTACCCTGCATGGCCAGTGCAGTGAGCTAACCAGAGAAGAGAAGATGTGACAGCATGGCTTGCTCCAAGATAAGAAAAGTTGATGCAGAAAACCTCTGTTTTAAAGATGAATGGACAGAGAAATTTATGTTCATTCTTCCAGCAGGCGGTTCAAAACCTGTTTGTCTCAGATGCTCTGAAACGGTCACATTAATTAAAAATGCCAATGTGAAGCACCACTATGAAATGAACTGCTCTTGTGAGCAAAGTTATCTGCTGACGTCCGAGCAGAGAGCACACAAATTAACTTGAACTTGAACTGAAAGCCTTCACCTCTCCAGGTTTGACTAGGCTTCAATATAAAAGAAAAAAGGGGTTATTAGGCTCTGTTTGCACTTTGTTCTGAGGTTTCTGTTTTCTGAAGTAAAGGTTGTAAAATTATTTGCCAGGGGTTACTTTGAAATATGGTAAAATAACAAGTTGTTTACTATAAAGTTCCTTTTGTTAACAGTGAAAATATGAACAAATGGGAGTGAGCAAGACCATAAAAGACAAAAGTCAGACTTTTGTTCGGACCTTTTACTAGGAGGAAAGTTTAGCAACTGGACCTCAGTGAATTTAATTGCATACCCCTGATCTAAACCATCAACATGTCTACTAGATTCTATGTTCAAATAAGCATTTTGTCTAATTAATATCTCAATTTTGTGTCTGCTTAAGTTGTTACTAATGAATGTTTGTGCCACAGAGCTTTAAGGTTGCTGTAATTAAACCTAAGAAACCTGATCTTGATTCAGGAGTTCTGGTCAACTATAGGCCTATATCTAATCTCCCATTCATCTCAAAAATTCTACAGAAAATAGTTACAAATCAATAATGTGAACAATGGGACAGAAATAATCTATTTGAGGAGTTTTGGTCAGGGTTTAGAGCTCATCATAACACACAGAAAAAACTGAAAGGGTTAAAAAGTAAGACCCAAACAGAATGTAAAGATGTATATGAAGCACCAGGAGAAACTAAATTCAACTTTTCTGTCTCCTAGAGACTCCAAAGGAAATCAAAGCATATCAAATCAAATAGGGCAGTCATTGTTCACATTTCCTGTAGTGTAGGTCAGCTATGACCCTCATTAACTTTTCTCAAAATTATGAGATCAGGAGTCTAATTTTTTTTCCTTTTGTGAATGCAATATTATTACAAATGCAGAGACCTGTAAGAGGAGGAGTTGAGTGGTTAATAGCAAACCGAAACAGGTAAGCAGGATGTTGGTTCTTTTTCTTTACAGGTCCAAGGAGGTCGAGCAGCACGGAGAGGAGGACAATAATCCAGGAAGTTTTCTAGGACATAAGATTTTCTAGGTTATTAATACTCAGTCTTAAAGAAAATTCTGGAGGCCGAGAACCATACTAGTTAGTATCAGTTAATATGTGATTTTCCAGCAAGGATCTGATAGTGTCTACGGTCTTTTAAGGCCCAGGAGCTCATCAGCCAAATGGTCTGCAGCTGCTGCTAATTGTTGCACTCTGCCAATCAGGGAGCTGCAGGTACAGATTCCTACAGAAAGAAGCATACAGTGCAACAAAACCTGCTATATTACACTGTACTGACAAAGTTCACCTCAGATACAACAGGAACATGAACAGTCTGATGCTTTGTATAAACCAAATAACACAGTTCAGGAGTATGGGAAGGCTCAGGGGTGGCAGGTGACCACAGAATCCTGTCTGTGGGGAAAAAAATCCCAAAACATCCCGTCAAGTATTAAAAACATTTGCTGTTAGATTCTGAGTCATCCAGGACATAGTAAATTAACCAATCAATTTTAAAAAAAGGGCAACTGGACTTCTATTGTTTAGCTGTAGACGTTTGCTTCCCAACCTGAGGAAGTGAGAAAACTCCCAGAATAAACAGAAATAAAGTTTTTTAGTAAATGTAAGAACTTACAAAATAAGTGGCAAATATTTTTCATATATAAATAAATAAATAAATAAATAAATAAATAAATAAATAAATACATAAATAAATAAATAAATAAATAAAATTGAGCAGATTCAAAAACTGCTCCAGGATTTATAAAAAAAAACTGTTTTTGAGGTACCAAAGTATTTTTTTTGTCCAGCTTTATTTTTGTTACACTGTTGTCACTGTTTTTGCGATCCATCTCAAACTTATGCAGTATGGTTTAAACAAGTGATATGTTGACTTTTAACTAATACAGTTAACATGTATCCAGATCAGCTTATTTAGCTAACACATGAGGTTTTATCATGGCTGACAGGCAGGGGGACAGCTGCAACAGTTGTTGCAACTGTCCCCATACGATAAATCCATATAAAAACAGAGCATAAAGATGATATTAAGATGTTGAAATTAAGTTTACACTTAAAAGGGAACTGGGTATGCATGAAAATTTCATAGTTTAAAACATAAAAGTGTTTAAGATGTATTTTCTGCAGTTGTTTTTTTTTCAACAATGGTTTTAAAATCCCAGTTTCTTTCAATGTAAATTTTGCATAATGTAGGCTTATAATGACAATAAGCGAAACAAAACTTGATTGCCTCACAAATTGTTCTATTATCCTTGTCTCAAAAACCCAACAGTATTTTATATCATTTAGAGTCTTTGACATCTGTAAGGTCTACTCATCAAGGCAAATCTATATTTGTCATTTGATCAATAAGAATAAATAAATAACATTGTAATATCATTATAACTTAGTTTTTTAATTAATTTAGCAATAATATAAATAAAAAATAATGAAACTTCTATTTACAGTGAAATATATTGTATTAATATACAACAAACAATGTTGCAACTGTCCCCAGTCCCAGGGTCAGTTACAACATCTGACTTTTCATTTTCAAATGTAAACTGTGAAGAATGTACATGCTTTAATCATCTATAAATGGTTTTAACTATTAACAGACAGATGTAAGTTTATTGTATTAAAATTTGGTTTGTCTAATTCAAACCTTCTCTGAGTAACAGAGTCAAATGCAAAAAGTGTTGAAACTGTCCCCGGTCTCCCCTAATTCTCTTCACGTTATGGGAATATCTGAGAAGATGCAGACAGCAGGAGGAGGGTCCAGCTGTGACTGTTAACCCTACCAGACAGCCAGCGGGAGCAGCTGATCAAGGTAAATGTTCCCTATGTCACCTCAGGCGAGCGTAAAAACCTTTTTGCGAATTTTGCCGTTTCCATCCACTTTTTCTCAGGACAGACTTCAAAGTGTGCATAAAAAACGGTGATGGAAACATGGCTACTAATGCTGTGTTTTTAGTCAAGCCAACAGAAGTCAGCCTGACTGGACAGTTAGGAGTAGATTCTTCAGTCTGCGCACTTGCAGCTCTGGTATTTTGTATTAAATGTTTTGATTTTTCTTGTTATGCCTGAAGTTAAAAAAAATTGTCAGATGAGTTCAGAGACGGGGTTCAAAAGCAACTTGCAGCAACAAAATAGTCAACTCTTCTGGATAGGTTCCAGCCCCACACAGCAACTCTTAAATATAAAAAAGCTCCACCTAGTGGGCTAATAAAAAAACTTATAGTAGAGGGACAGTGGAAATAAAATTCAAGCAATACAGAAAATAATGCCTTATTTTGGGATATAACACACATGGGCTCAAAAAAAAGCATGTAGAATGGATTTCAGTAGGGTTGATTTTCTTCCCACTAGAGGGTAGTAAAGTTACTGGGAGCATTTCATATAATTCTGACAAGGTTACCAATTTTTCGAAAGATTTTGAGTTTAAATCAGGAACGGTGGTGTTTAAAGACAACATCAAACAAAAATTAATACATTTTAAAACATGAACATAACTGGCTGATTTTTCTCCAAACATCCTGAAGGTTAATTACATTGAAGAGCTCAGACTTTAACTTTTAAAATGAAAAAAATTAATTTGCAATCTGCATTACAGGTGCAACATTTTGTGGGAACTTGGGGTGCTGTGAGTGCTTGAGCACCTATAATAGATGTTAAAGATAAACAAAAAATAATGTATTTAAGAAATATGTAAAAAGTATACTAGTGTTCAATAATAAAGTAGGATAATGATGTGATTATTTTTGATGATAATGGCTTTATGGGGGGGGGGGGTGGATTCCTGTTTGTTATACAACTTCTCACTTCTATGTCTAAAAATATGATTTGATATTATTAAATGCTTCTATTCAACAAGCAGCACTCAAACTGACTTAATACATACCTTCTTCTTTGATGCCTCTGACTTTTTGGACATATTTCTTAGTTTTTTGTGCAAGTGATTTATCACCTGTAAACAAGCAGAAAGATAAACCCTATTTTGCATCAAATTTTGTCATTTATTCAGCCTTATTCTCTTCCTCAGGTTTTCTCACCTTGGCGTAGCAGAAGGAGATGAGCAGCAGCGGCAGCACGTAGCCGAACACAAACGTGCACACCACGTAGACTTTCTTGTGGTTGTGGTCCGGCCACAGTTCCCAACAGTACGTGCTGTTCTCCCCGCGCTGGAACAGGTTCTGGTGTTGCATGATGGGCGCCGCCATGGCCAGAGACAGGATCCAGATCACCACCACGCCGATCAGCGCGTGCCTCGCCACGCGGATGGAGGAGGACTTTCTGGAGTGCACGATGGCGATGTAGCGGTCCACCGACATGGCGGACAGGGTGAAGATGCTCACCAGCATGGAGACGGTGAAGAAGTAGTGGATGAACTTGCAGATGAAGGCGCCGAGCACCCAGGTGGGCATCATGTAGATGGTGGACTGGAAGGGGATGCAGAAGAGCAGGTAGGACAGATCCGCGATGCTCAGGTTGAGGATGAAGATGTTGGTGGTGCTCCTCGGTTTGCCCGGTTTGCTCCGGGCCAGCACGGTGATCACCATGGAGTTACCCAGCACGCCCAGGGTGAAGATGAGCCCGAACACCAGGAGCGTGATGAAATTATCCGTGCCGATCCCGAACAAAAGTTTCTGCTCCTCTTCTTCTGCCGCGCTAAGGTTCCGGAGCTCTCTGTCGGGCATCACGGACTCTGACGAGTTCATGATTATCTCTCCCTTTTCTCTTTAAATCACTTCTGATGTCGGGGCTTCAGCTCCAGAAGCTCCGTTGCTGCCTCATGGTGCGTCTGTCGGACCGGCGCGTCTCCAGGAGAGCTCGTGTTGTATCAGTTAGATAAACCCGGGCTTCCTCTCCTCTCTGATTTAATTTCACTCACATAAAACCTTCCTGCTTTACTTCAAGCATCACTGTGAAGTCTCACATAAGCAGAGAAATGTCCCAAAGTTTTGCAGCTTTCTACTCATCTGTTTCCGCTGCCTGCATCCTGGAGCGTCTTTCTCCTGTTGCGCACCAGATGCGTGTGCGCGCTCGTTCCGTGCGCCCGCCTGCTCCTTGTCTGGACTTTCCCCTCTGCTTTAAAGCATGGGGGCTGGGCCGGGCCGCGTGCGTCAGCACCCATACCACCTCCAAGAAACGTGGAGGGGAAAATGACAGAAAGAAAAGAGAATACTGATTTGGATGCGTTTTATTCTCATCATTTCTGAATTCATTCAGTTGGCAGAGGTCGGAGTCAGTTCCCCAGGCAGACTGATGGGTTATACAGCAGCAATGACAGTTATTCAGAGAAAAGCTGTTTTAGTGATGTTTTGCCATAAAAAACACCACTTAAAATAATTTTAGTGTTTTTGTATCACAAAAAAGTATTTTAAGCTATTTATCTCCTTAGGTGATTCTCTCTCTCTCTCTCTCTCTCTCTCTCTCTCTCTCTCTCTCTCTCTCTCTCTCT